ATAGTGCATCTTTTGCAAATAATTAAACATTATAGGTTTCAAATAGAAGATACGTTAAATAATCACTTTTTGTCCTTTCTCAAAAAAAAAATAATCACTTTTTGTAACACAATATATATCTTCACTCTCTATTATAAAAAGTTGTATATACATCTCTCTTTTTTTGTAATAGTAGTACATCTTAGTTGAAGATCTTACGACATTCTTCAATTAATAATAATATAAGAACTTCAGAAGAGAGAGAAAAGAGAAAGAGGAACAAAAATCAAAGAAAAACAATGAAGGTGCATGGGTTCTCGAGGTGGATCATTCAATAGGCTTTTAATATATAACAATTCTCTCATACAATTAATTGAGACATTGACTCATCCACCTCTGTACAAACATGAAAACACAAATAATAATCAGTTATAACTTTTTCACATTAACAAAAAAGTAAAATTATTTTTTTGTATAATTTATAAAATTAGACGCTAAAAGCCACAGAATGTGATCAATCATATCAAGACCTAGAATAGATATATATATAGTGTATATGTATGTAGAGCAAGGATTGTGGCCAAAGAAAAGAAAAAATGTAGAGATAGGATGGACGTAGAATGAAGAGAAACTTAAATGATTATGTCATAATTACTTTATTATGATTTACATCTCTCAACAGAATGACGTTGACACATCATATTTAAAGAAAAAAAATAGGTAAATTTCTCCAATCTTTACATGGACAGACAAGTAAGTAAATTTGTACAACCATGTGAAATGAAACATACACGTTCTATGTAGCAGTAGCCACATATGTATTAAATTTACATACACATTATAATAAGCATAACGAAAACAACTATTACAAGTAGAAGCATGACTATCAATTTTTTTTAATCTACATTATAGTATTTGTAAGTGTTGACATGTGTTAATTTCACAATTTTTGTTAAGTAAGTCTAAAAACATACAAATGTGCTTCAAATATCACATCATCTGTTTAGAATCTCCAGAAACTGAGCATTTTGACTTTATAACGTCTGCATGCAAAAACATTGCATGCATTAGCATTCGCACCTATTAGTTGTCTATAGGCTCTAAAGCCTTGTCTACCTCTCTCTCTCTCTCTCTGCCCACTGTCAAAATTCTTGATTCTGAATATTCAATTTTTTTGGGGCTAACTCATCTAGAAATAATGATATTGACATTCCATATTTTAAATTCTGCATTACGGAAGAATTTTTCAAGAACAAAGTTATAAGAACTTGGATGTTTCTATGGTTCAGTTCACATAATTAAATTCCAATTTATTGGACGGCTGTGCTAACGAAAAAAATCCGAAGGTACTTTGGGTTTTTTTCTTTACTAAAGAAAAAACAACTTCATAGCTAATTAATTTTAAAAGCATAACTATCTTTTTTAAGTTGAAGTTATGCATAGGCCTATTGCTTATTTTTCACTTGACCACATGATACCAACCTAACTAATTATATGATGAGTCAACATTGGGTTAAAACATATTTAGAGGCACTATATCTATACACTATAATTTCGATTTTTATAAATATACAGAGGAAAAAGACTAAGAGACAAGACTATAAATGCATGCATGCAGACAAATTGCAATTTGCCTCTGCATTTCCTTTTAACACAGTCTGTTTTCGATTTTTATTTTCAGAAATAAAAACTAGAATTTGTATCCACACACATAAATGCGTAGTGTTCTGTCAACATTCTTATTAAATCCTAAACTGTTGGTAAAATACCAAACAGCTCTTTTGCTGTTTGGCATTTCCTCTCTTTTGTCCCCACTTAGCCTTTTTTCAAACTAAAATTCTATGAGAACGCTTCATTGCACAATGCAAGTTTTAATTTTCATTCACGTACACACGTACGCATCTATCTACTAATCTATAAACTAATTAAGATACGTAAACCTACAACAGCGACGTACCGATAGATGAAGTAATTGCGAATGTGGACCATATGAAACTGTAATATCAAAAAGAATGTCAAACTCGTGTTTTTATTCAAGTTACAAAGGTTTGCTACCTCAATGGAAACTATCATCTTTTCTTGCGAAGCGAAGGAAACTATATCACCTAGTCAATTGAACATATGTATAGCTTTCATGTTAATTTTTCGGCAAGTATTATACGTACTGTTGATTGACTAAGGTTTTTTATTTTAATAATACTTTTAATTAAGCTGTTTTCTATAGTTTTTACTACTTTTATCTGTTTAAATTTAAGTTTTCTTGTATTAATAAAAGTAAATAACATTATCCATAATATAGTTTCATGGAGTATATCACATTAATCGATGCATAAATTAATCATTTAGACAGTTCACTTATTTCGACCTTTTTATGAACTAATATGTATGCAACAAATTATGTAATTAAACAAACAAACAAAAAAGAAGATAGTGTGAAAAAATGGATGTAGTTTGAGATGTTTATTTCTATATTTTACAGGATTTTTTTTTTTAACTATATGACCACATAAGAGATATAAATGTGCAAAAGACAAGTGCATATTATAATGAGGAAAATGGGCATGTAAAGCTAGAAAATAATATTCATTAATTATTACAATAATTCAACACCCCCCCCCCCCAACAAAAAAAGAATTTTTTTCTGGAACCCCTTCATTAAAATGATCACAAGTTCATATACCAACTTTGATGTCATCTATATCAAAACTAATATTTCCGATAACATGAATACAATTATTTTTTTTTGATAAAGTCCATCAATACAATATTTTTTTGTAACAGCCATCAATACAATATTGATGTTAAACGTTTTCATATTAGAATGTTATCTCTGTCTGAGCTAAATTGAACATTTTTTGTTCGAACAATTCTAATGTACGGCGTTGAAAGCAGTTTAAATTATTAACAAATAACTTCTACATCTGCTTCGAATGATCAGATCCTTCTTTCTTTCTTTCATAAAAAATAAAAATAAATAATAACTTCTACATAATCATTGCTAAATATAAACAATATGTTGGAAGCTCAAATATAATCGAAGGATGTTTAGTAAATTGGGCAATTGGATTTTTAATAGTTATAAGAAATAAACAAACCAAATTTAAAGAGAAATAAACAAATAAATAAAAGAGATGATTTGACGAGTGACTGATCAAAATATGGCAGACTGTCCGTACCTTTCTTTTCTAATATCTGAATTTCTGAATTGCTGACTTTTCTGTTCTTTCTTTCTTTTCTCCCACAAATACAATTAATAACCAATCTTTAGGAGTCAATGCACTTATTCCACTCAAATCTCCATACCCAACACAGTTTCCACTCTTCTTGACACATTCTTTGTTATTTCTCAAATCGTATTGTCTAGTCTCTCTAAAGTATACAGAAATGAGTGATTTTTGTTTTTTAAGTATGAATGGTCGATGTGTTTACTATTTAGTGCCTTGTAGGACATTTCAAGCGTGCTTAACGACTCTGCATCACTTTTCAAAGTATAACGTTTTAAGAACAAAGTATTTTATTTTAACATAGGGGATAGAAGTCTATAGAAAACTAAATTTAAGTGCAATTTCCTGCTACTACAATCGTTTGATAATTATATTTGTGGCTTAAAGTGTTAATAGCAAGGTTGATTTTTGAAAGGTTGATCTTTTTATTTAAATTTTTTTAGACCAAAAAAAATAACAGACTCAATAGTAAAATTTTAAGCAAAAAAAAAATTGCCCACATACTTCAACAAAAAAGTCATGTAATAATCTGTTTATAATCATGTGTTTGTCCTCCTTTTGGATTCTAACACTAAGTTCTTTCGGTCGGGTCGTCAATAATTTTTCTCCAACTAATCAGAAATTTAGGGCTCTCTAAATAAAAACAATGACAAATATGTAAGAAACCTCTAACCAAACATGATTTCATCTATTCACAAACCATTTGGACTAATTCAAATTCTGGAAAATTGACCCCACAAAATTGTTTAACTTTTCCAGCCCTAAAGCACATGTTTCATTAGTCTGTGCTTATGCTTAGGCTCTGGACGTATTGTGCAAACCCGTTTTCACTCGAAGATGAAGTCATGAAACTTGTGCTACTCATCTTGCAGGAACGTACAGATATAAGAGAAGATCTTTGCATGTATTGAGAAGTACAATATATATCTCTTCTTCCCTTTCTCTACAAATATTTAATCTTAAACTCGTGACACCATAATAACTCATAAACAATTATTCGATGTATACGAATACGAGCGATCGTGTTGAGCGATAACTAAGTCATAGATATATAATAGAAGTGCTTATCGACATTATATATATAATTGTATACATTTATATTAATTTGTCAGCTGAAGATGACTACAAGAGCGGTCAAAAGCAACATGTAGGCAAATTTATTATTTTCAATAGGGAAATTTAAGAGTTTTACCTCTGTTTGTCTACATGGTGAATTATTTAGGGTGAATATTACCATTATTATTATCATATCATTATCATCGATATGTAAAATTAGTCTCCTCTCCTAAAATTACTGTTGAGAAACAGAAAACTAGTTAGACCGTAAGATATCATAATTATATCCCGAAATTAATCACAAAGCCATAACTTGTGTCACACATACCCTCTTTTTCCACATCTGTCATTTATTTCTTCCAGCAAAAAATAATAAAATAGTTGGGTATTTTGTGAAATAAGTTTTTTCTTTGGCTGTCAAACAAACAAATACATACATGAATAAAGAAATCTCATAGTTATTGCGCTCAATAGATTGGTAAGGTCCATCAAATACTAAATGAGCCCTAAAAGAAAGATGGTCATTGGATGGTCATGTGAGAGGCAAGACATTCAAAAAGTGAAGAACTTATTCTAACAACATTCTTCTGCTTGAATCCAAGAGAACGTGAGAAGAATCCATACATGAATATAAGTCGACAAAAGAATGCACACAAATTTTTTGTTAACTCCAAACTGTTTGCCCATGCCTAGGACTATAATAAGCACAGAAATGCTCTCATTTGTATTGGGCTCAATGGATTGCTAAAAGAACCCAATAATTCAATAATGGGCCGATGATTACAACAAGTACAAGAAAACAGAAAGATGGTGGTTGATGTGGTCATGTGAGAGGCAGAGCATCAAAGGAGTGAAGAACTTGTTCCAACAACATTCTCGTACTCGAATCCAATGGATTCTCTGGATTATCTGAATGAACAACGTTCAATAGATAAAGCTTCTTAGAGCTCACAAACGCAGCCGAGAAAACCCTCTTGATTCCTCCTCTCGTGCTATCGATTTTGTATTCAAACTCATACACTTGCCCTTGTCCTGATCTCTCTCCTACTGATACAACTTCTGCTTCGTTTGTGCTTTCCTAAATTCAACAACAACAACAAAGCAAATCACAAAAAAAAAGCTCTTTTCTTTCTTCTACTTGTTGTTTGGGTTTCTTGTTACCTTACGCTTTTCTGCGTTGATGAGTTTGTCTGCTACAAATTGAGGAGTACCAAAGTCTTCAAGACTCTTTATACGGACAGGACTCACCACAACTCCTATATTGTTGCTTCGTTTCTCTGGCTCTTCAAAAAGAACATTGGCTCCTGCTTTCTCTACCTTTGATTCCCATTTAATTAAATTAACAAAGAAGTCAATTATTCAAGTACTAATAAGGAATTCGCATTTTGGAATATCATGCAAATTCGAATTACACCTTAATCCAAGAAGAGGGTACGAGAAGAGTGAAGCCATCTTTGGAATCAGTGTATCTTTGAAGATTTTCCAATTCTGCCATGGATTTGGCTTTATCCAGCAAGAACCCACCATTGAACAAGAGCGTGAGAATCGAGAGATTCAAGTGTCTCTTGCTGAGATTGATGCTACTGGTGGACGAAGGATTTTGGGTGAAGCAGAGTAAAGTTTGGATCTTTTGATGAGAAGAAGAAGAAGAAGAAGATGATAATAGAGAAAGTTTTGGAGGAGAAGAGAATTGGGGAGAAGCTACGAAGCTTGACGACCACATTTTGCTTTCCTTCTCCTTATCACATTTTGCCGTTAAAGTCCCAATTTTTTTTTTATAAAAAAAAAAGTAAAGGTTTGATTTTTTTTTCAATTAACGAAAGAATAAAGAAGAATTTTTGTATACGTAGGTTTTTCAAATCTGATCTAATATTCACACTGTATTTTCTGATTAGAGGTTCCATTTCGGTTCTGTTTTCGTATATGATTTTCCTAATTTGGTTTGGTTTAGTTTGGTTTATCTGGATAAGAAATCTCAACGGGAAACTAAGGAAAGGAATCATATAAGCACAAAACTTTGATGTTCTACTCAAATACTCCACAGTCAAAACTAATCACTTTAACCAAAAGATAAAGAAGACTTGGAAGAGAACAATTGATCAATCAGACATAGAAGAAGCATACATATTCCTCCAAGGCTCAGGCACGATCTGGCCACAATCCTCAAGAACATTCACCAATGAACCAGCCGGATAAGAAACCGCCTCCTTCTCCGTTAGAAAGCTGTGCAGTACGCCGTGGACACTGTCTCTAGCCATACTTGTCAGAATCTGAACGTATGTTTCGAACGATGGAACAAAATCCGGAAGTAGAACGGTTTCAAAGTCACTCATTACTGTTATATCCAACTCTTCGATATCGATCAAGCGTGCCAATGGCTTCCGGCTGAGCCAGAGTCAAAAAAAAAAAGAGACAACAAATCGTAAGAAAGACAAAAGCTATGGTCTTTTCATATTAATAAGCCGAAGTTGAGAAGTAAACTTACCTCTTTTTGAGCTCTGAGATTTTAGAGTCGCTATTGGCTGAAACAGAGAGACCTTTGACCTTAAGTAGAGCCTTTAACTTTCTGAAACTTTCCTCCTTTGCAACAATGTATATAATCTTTGAAGATGATGAATCCAGAACCTCTGAAAACTGTCAACAATTAAACGTTGCTTTTTGGTTTCAGTGTCCTCTGATAACAGCCAAATAAATGCAAGAAAATGATACATGACAATGTGTTATTGTTAGAAGAGCCAACACTTATCCACCGCATGTTTTTCACTTTGTTACTCATCTCTAAGGTATCACACTAACGCAAAAAGAGAAACCTAATAAACTCTGTAAGTATGTCACTGACGCTCGTTTAAGGAACGTGTGTGTGAGAATGAGATCAAACCATCTATTAGTGAATGCTACTTCTGTTAAGTGCTTGTTTTGCATGTTCATACTTTAGCAACTTTTGCTTTCTTATAATCTCACTTTCACGAAAACTTTAAAACTATGGTTATAGACAAAAATAACGTATCATATGACATACCTTCTGCAGCTTTTTTTCCTCCGAGGCGCACACATTTACAGTCTGGCTAATACAAGAGGCTTGGCTGGCAACAGAATCACTGAGGGAAAGTCTGTTAATTGATCCTCCCAAAAGACTCTGGACGGCTGGAATATAGGAAGCGCTAAAACTGTCGCTGAAAACTATCGTTCGGTGTTCGCTGGAAATGGCCTGCTTAATGGATTTCACCGCATCTAGATAACCACTAGTGCAATGTGAACCTAGTTCATCAATGACCTGTGTAGATATGAGAAAATAATTAGCAGTGTTGAACACTCTTGTATATAGGATGAAGAGGCTCCAAAGCATGCTACATAGAGTTAGAGAGAGACTGATCGATCCTCATCAACATAAGAAGATACTTAGAGCCTATAGATGTCCTACCTAACAAAAATATCATTCATAACAAAAGGGACCTGCCAACCATTTTCCCCAGTAGCTGACATAAAATCTAAAGTGAAACAGTTAAATTTGAAGCCATAAAACGATTTGGACATCTTTGGACTGGTAGTATAACTAAACAGACAGGCAGGTAAAAAGATTTTAGCATACCAGCAATGAAACCCCCGATATATCAACTCCCTTCAGGGCAACAATCTCCAAAAGTCTCTCAGGTGTAGAAACTAGAAACTCAGGTTCACAGCTTTTCAATCTACAAACCAAAAAGCAGATTGTCAGAATTGGATGGAAAAGAGAAGCTTATTCATCACGTAGCAACAGCCTTGAATCTGAGCAAAACAAACTAGATTGTAAAAGAAAAAGAGATATATACCCAGATATCTGATGATCTAGTGACGCTCCTTGGTGTAAGCTCACTGTGTGAATTCCAATACCTTTCAGTGCCTTGCAAACCGATCGAACCTAAACACGATAGAATAAAAAACTATTGCATGATGTCCCTTGTCAAGATAAATCAGCATAACGTAACGTTTTCTGAATATCAAGTCTTGATAAAAAGTCACTAAATTGATCCTAACCTTGGATGCTTTAGACTGAGATGGTACGAGGTACAAGAGGAAAGGGCTGTTGCTTAATGACTCCTCCTCCTCCTGCTCTTCTTTCTCCCGTCTAGACATAGCATCTGTCGCGGTCGAAACGATCCACGCGATCTGTTCCAAGGTGGAAGATGCTCCACTTGTCTCTAGAACATCTTTTCCAGAATTAAAACATTTCCAGAACTCAATCCCCCAGGTGCTAGTGAACAAAGACTTCTCATGTTGATCATCACTTCGAAACGAGGTCTCTATACTGTTCAGGCACAACATCACATACTTTGGTGGACCTTTCAGCTTCTTCCCATCGCCATCACTGGACATAGCAGATGGTTTCTTCTTGCCTTCTCTATCTTTCTTGACCTTCTTCTTTTTCTTTTTGGTAATGTCCACTTTACCTTGCTTCTCATTGAACGGATCTTCAGGTGTAGGAAGGCTAAAACACATTCCCTAAGATTCAATAAGAAACAAATCCACCATTTTAATTCACATAGCTCAAATTCACCAACACAAGTACGAATTCGATATATACACTTCCATTTCCGATTTCAAAACTCGTTGATGGTTTTAGAGAACCCTAAAAATCGAATCGGAGAAGGTGGATAGAGAAGAGTATGCATATATATATATACCTGACACATGCTGCGTTTGCCAGACTTGCGGCGTTTCTTAGCGGCGATGATGGCGGCGATGCGAGCAGATACGGTGGCGGAATCGTTCTTTCGATTATTCTTCTTCCTCGTTAATTTGTTCTTCTTCCTCGCCAAAGCATCGTCGCCTTTCGCCATGATTTTTCCTTCTTTGAAGGTTTTGCTCAGTAGCTTCGGCCGCCGTTGCTCACGCTTCTGCTGTTTCGGTTTTGTGTCTTTATAGTTGTGGCACAATTGTAAATTAATTGAAGTTTTGGGGCTAACAGTGTCATTTGGTACATCGAATTACAAATTTAACCCACATACCGGCTTGATTGGTGATAAACCGGAATTAAATTTATAGTCACGGTTCATTACTTAAATGATATGTGAACAAACGGTTAATTACTTAATTTTATAGTCACAGTTCTAAAAGTCGGTCTAAGCCGTGTTTAAACATCGCTTACCTAGGATCTAGACGTTTATATATTGTGACAGTTACTTTTTAACCGTTTTATATTTGATATTTATAAAAAAAAATTTTATGTGTAATTTGAATTTTAAATATATATATTTAAGATTTATAATATGTAAACTTTATTATTTATAAGCAAACCATGTAATTTAATATATTGCACTCTATAAATTATATAATAAATTTATTTATTTTGTAACGACATAAACGCGCCCAAAAATCGCTTAAACTCTGATTAAACGTTTTAGGCGGCCCATCTAGGCCTAACCTAACGCTTTCTTGAACTAAACCGGCAAGTATCTATAGCATTCCGGTTCGAACCGGTTTGGTTAACTTCTACACAGTCATATATTATGATCTCCATTAACGGAATTTTACAGCAAGAAAAGCGGTATAGCTTCGACCGGTACACAAAATCGCCATCATGACTAATTTCCAACATTTTTTGTTACTATCTTAAGATATCGCTGAACCAAAATTGTTGCTCCTATTAAACGAAGCATTCTACATACTAAACCAAAAAAAAACAAACGAAGAACCGTCGTTGATTAACTTGCTTCATCTGAACACATCTTGATCTCTTGTTTCTCTTCCTCAACACAACCTTTAGTTTCGTTCACTCTTTTCTCTTCACCATCAACTTTTGTCTCTGTCTCATTACACTGTTTTCTCCTGTGATTGGGATCATAATTGGAAGAAGCTAAGTGATCCAAAGCCATAACCACATCAGATATCACCGGTCTCATACTAGGCTGCTCTTGAACACACATTGCAGCTATCGCAAGCGCTTGGTACAATCCTCTAACCGGATAATCCCCTTCAAGCAACGGATCAACCATTTTCTTAAAATTCTTCCTATCTTTAAACAACGGAGCCGCCTGTACAATTTTTTGTCAAAAACTATTAATCATAATATGCTCACTAGCATAAAAAAAGGAAAAAGTTAGAGACTTTAAGCTTTTACCCATCCGACAAGATTCTGGTCTTTACGAGCTTTTGTATTATCAATCGCTTTCCTTCCGGTTATAAGCTCTAAAAGCACAACTCCAAAGCTGTAGATATCTGATTTGAACGTGAGCTGACCCGTCATTGCGTACTCAGGAGCACAGTATCCGTATGTTCCCATAACTCTTGTGGAAACATGGGTTTCGTCTCCGCTTGGTCCGACTTTAGCTAATCCGAAGTCAGAGAGTTTTGGGTGATAGTCTTCACCGAGCAAGATATTCGAGCATTTAATATCACGGTAGATCACAGGAGGCTTCATTATATCGTGAAGATACTCTAGACCTCTCGCTGCACCAGCTGCTATTTTCATCCGAGCGTTCCAATCAAGCGGTTTCTTACCACAAGGAAGATCTAAAACCAAACAGAGAATCCATAGGCTTGTTTACAACAAAGATTGATGCTTTTTTGGTTATGTAATATGCGTATAGAGCAAGACCAATATGAGTTGAGGTTTATACAAACATACCATGGAGGTGGTTTTCAAGAGATCCTAGTGGCATGTACTCATAGACCAAGAGTCTCTGAACACCTTCAGCGCAAAATCCGATAAGCTTTACAAGATTGGGATGATCAGCGAGGCTTAGTGTCATTACTTCGACCACGAATTCTCTGATTCCTTGTGCACCATTCCTGTCAAGTTGCTTGATTGCAACAACCTATCAGAAAAAAACCATTTACAGATTGTTGAAAATCTCTAACCAGCTTAAGCCACATTACACAATTAATTGATTGAAATCAAGAAACATATTTATGTATATTTATATACCTGATTGATTTTGTCTATGAAACCCTTGTAAACTTTTCCGAAACCTCCTTCACCTAGAAAACAATCTGACCTGAAGTTTCCTGTAGAAACCGAGAGTTCTTCAAAGGTAAAAGTCTGTGCTTTCTTCCCTGAAACTTCATCTTCAACATTCAAATCCTTCGCATCTAAAGCTAATTGATCCTCTTTAGCAGCTATATCGTCGTTTACATCTCCACATTGACTGAATTTCAAGCAATCTACACAAACACATCAATATGAATCAAGAAATTGCAGCAAATAAGAACACAAAAACCTAATTATCTCTTAACAAATGATTAAAGCACACGAATTAAAAACTCTTAAGACTTACTAATTTCTCAATTAATCGATTCAAAAATGGAAATGTAGCAAAAACAGATGACCTAGAACGAAGAAACCAGATCGAAAAACTACTAAAAAACGACGCGAGATTCCGAAATCAAAAGACGATTCTTAGCTTCGAAAATTCTACTCGATACCTGAGCTAGGTTGCGTCTGATCAACGTTCTTACGAATGCAGTTTCCGTCGATTGCGAGTTTATTATTTTTGGTGAAATCGTTGTTCTTCGTCTCCGATCGTTTGTTCGATTTCCCCGTGCGTCCGAAACATCCCATAGCTAAAATCCAGATTGCGAATTTTTTGACGGATTGTATATTGATCGTCTCCTTAAAAACCCAGAAATGAAGAACATGTAGAGAGAATCAACACAGAGAATTATAGAAAACGGAAGGTTTTGATTTTAGGGGAAGGAAGAGGAAGAGTTACGGAAAAAGAAAAGAGTGAGAGAAGAGAGAAGAGGGCAAAGTAAGAGAGATGCTTAATTTGAACTTTTTTAAAGGAGGAGCGGAAATAATCGTCTACGGTAAGGTACATTTTAGATTACTGTAGGGGGTTTTATTTATTAATAGTAACTATTAATAAGGCGCGTCTAGTTAAATTGGTCTTCGTTTTGAGTTAAAAAGTAAAATTAAGATCTGACTGGGAAACTGGGTCAACGTTTTGTTTGTTACCGTCTGTTTTCTTTTTTACGAGTTGACTTGGCACTTTGTTGGAAAAATCTGGTTTTGATTTTTTGAATTAACGAAATTACATAATCTAGGAATTGAATTTTTGAGGAAAAAAAGGAAGGAACAAACTTTGTTCTAAGAGAGGATTAATCGTGAATAAGAGAATTCATTAATGACGATTTAATCATTTTTTGTGTGATTGATCATGAGTCCAATACGTAAAAAAACAATTTGATTTATATAATTTCTATTATTATATAATTTTTATTAATTTCGAAAATAAAAATTTTAAAGAGTCAAAATCCATTTTATTCTTAAAAGTATTTCTGTAATTGACATTATAAGAAAACGCAACATGTAAAAAGAAACGAAGTCGAGCGTGTGTGAAAGACGTTATGTCTTTGAATTCAAGAAGAAGAAGGTTTGAAGCTCAAGGCTAAGTGCCACAAGACTCTGAAGCATGAAGACGGTTTAGACAATCCGCAGGTGGATCAGAAATGTTGAAGGTTCAAGAAGAAGGTAACCGTACCGTTGCAGCCCAAGTGGAAGAGATAAGGATCACTTGTTTCGGAACCAAAAAAGAATTGGTTAGTGAGAGCTCTCTTTCTACCAAAAGAAGAAATGATGCAGCGCTAAGTTTGGATTACTTCATATGGTCGGTTATAGGGTTACAGGCTAAAACATGCACGGTTTGTAATAGGTGATTGTATGGATTATAAAACTAAAGTGATTCTAGTGAAATTTCAACCTTTCATATGATCTATTATAAGGATACAGACTAAAGCATGCACGGTTTGTCGGTTTGTAATAGGTGGTTATATAAACTATAAAATTAGTTATTTTAATGAAATCCCAACGACAGTAGGGTTCCAATTTATGATTTGAATTCGTTATAACTCTTATCTTATATACTTTTATGCTCTGTTCTTTTATATCCTTCAAACATAAATCGAACAAACAACACACGAGAGAGCGAGATAGAGGATTCAAGAGAATAAAACATTAAACTTTATCATCTTAAATCCTAACAGTGTGGATCTCACAACAGTCAAATAATATATGTCATTCTAGAACATTGTCCAAATTACTATTTCTGATACATTCGGAAAATTATTGTATGTATAATGTATTCCACAAGTGCCCACCAATATTTTAAATTTCACCCACACATTTTTTTTTCTTACTCTTTTTTTCTGTTGAGAAAAGGCTCCTTTTTCTTACTCTTAACTTGATGTTATTCCTCTGTTGATTACATTTAGGAACCAGGAATATTCCCACATCTATACGACTATATTCATATTGTTTTCATCCTCTTAAGTTCTTATTTATTTTTCGTATATGGACTATGGAGGAGATTATTCAACAACTATTTTTTTTTTTCGTTGTTGCGAACAACTATTTTTTTTTTCATTGTTGCGAGAAATAAATATGCTAAAATGATTCTAGAAACGTCCTCATACATTATGTTATAATTTTTCTACATATCACTTATTAGATACAGGGATGAGATTTGTTTTTGTTTGGGATGTCTTTCCACATATATTCTTCATACCTACGTTTTAGTTAAAATATGGAGTACTTAATTTATTTTTAATAACACCTTTTGATGCACTTTTACGTATTATTAACTAAATATCATGATATATTATTGAGGTTTGAATTTGAATAAAATTTGATCAAACATCCTATTACTAATAAAAGTTGAAACTAATCTTATTACTAATAAAAGTTGAAACTAATTCTATTACTAATAAAAATTGAAACTAAGAGCATGAACATCGGTCGTCTCCTTGGCGTCTCTTGTTAATAAAAACCAATTTTTTTATGAAAACGCGTCTCTCAAAATTTTGGGATATCGCTTAAAATGAAACCGTAAAAGACGGTATTGACAGACACGTGTTATTATGTGATTGGCAAATGAATTTGGGGGAAAAAATTTTTTCCTTCCCTTCCTCTTTTCCCCGACACAATTTTCCTCGTCTTCTCCGTAAAAAACTTCGATGGCGACGACGATCTTTTGGTGGCGAATCTCTGCGGCATCGTCGACATCGTTCGGAGGCCAACAGCAGAGGATCGAGACGCCGAGATAAGCCATCTTCTCTTTCTCTTCTGTCTTCTCTTTTTTTTTTGCAAAATCAATCCGTTCTGAATCAGTTTAATTTTGATGGATTCGGGAATTCTATCTTCATCTGTTCGGGTTTTCGATTCTTTCTTCTTCTGAATTGGTTAGGGATCGAATTATATGATTATTTGATTTATGGGTTTCAATCGGTTTGACTAATTTAGGGTTTTCGATTTAGGATCGAATCAGTTTGATTATTTGATGTGAGGTTATTTGATTCGTGGTTTTGATTAGTGGGTATGATATAGGGTATAATATAGGGTTCTGATCGAGTGTATTGACTTCATCTCTTATGAGTTGAATTGTTTGTTGTATATATGATTTTCTTACTTCAATCGGTGATGTAGCAATATGGTTTTGTGTTTGTGTAAGTGTCAATAAGACAATGTTTGCTTGAGATTGGGATTGTTTGCTTTGATTCAGATTGTTTGTTTGTTAACCTTCTCTGATTTTGTACATGCATCAATCGGTTACATTATTTGGAACTAAACTTGGTATTTGGTTTTCTTTCAATGCAGCTTAAAGGCTATACATCTAAATTGGCGAGACAGGTGAAACAATCTTTGAGCATTAAAGCAGAAGACAGAAGTAATTTCTGGTAAGCAATCTTCAAACCTTATTAATAGGCTTTAGCATAAAAATGTAGCTTTGTAGTCGGTAATGTAATAAAGGCTTGTTCATTTTAGGGAGATTTGTAATTGGTAATGATATTAATGGCTGGGTTTAGATAGGTTTGAATGTCTCTGTTTAGAGACCTTTATGTCTCGTCCATGTTAGTTGGAGTTCAATGCTTCTTCTTGATTGCTTTAAGGTTTAGAGACCTTTATGTCTCATCGATGGTAGTTGGAGTTTATTGTTTCTTCTTGATTGCTTTTAAGGTTTAGAGACTTTTATGACTTTGTTGTTTGCTTTCAATGCCTTCTTTCCATTTTTCTGCTTTTTAAAACCCGATCCTTCTTCTGCTTTTTAACAGCTATTCTGCTCTTCAATTCCTGTTTTCTACCTTTCTTCACAACCTTTTCATTCCTTTTTCCTACTTTTCTTCACAACCTTTTCATTCCTTCACTAACCTTTTCATGTCTTCGGCATATCCATATGCTCAACCCACTAACTTTGTGGACTTGTTGAATAGTCAACAAGACACTCCCCTTACTGATTCCTTTGCTTCATGCAACCATTTCCAAGCTTCAGCACGCAGACTACACCTCAAGAGCGAAAGGAGAGAGCTGCTTGGCACCCAAGCGACGATGTCTTACTGATCAGTTCCTGGTTAAATACCAGTAAAGATTCTGTAGTTGGCAACGAACAGAAGAGTCATGCTTTTTGGCAGAGGGTATCAGACTATTATGATGGAAGTCCAAATGCAGAGGGTTGTGTACCGAGAACGACAAGCCAGTGCAAGCAGAGGTGGCACAAGATCAATGATCTTGTGTGTAAGTTCTCCGGTGCATATGACTCTGCAACAAGGGAGAAGACCAGCGGCATGAACGAGAACGACGTCCTGAAGCTTGCTCACCAGATTTTCTTCACAAACCACAAGAAGAAATTTAACCTTGAATACGCCTGGAGGGAACTGCGGAATGATCAAAAGTGGTGTGATCTTTCCACCACAAAAGGTAATGAAGCGAGCAAAAAGAGAAGAACCGATGTGATGGAGACTGAAGCCATGGAGACTGTCGAAAATGATGGTTCATGCTCTCGTCCTATTGGTGTGAAGGCTGCAAAAGCCAAAGGAAAAAAAGTTCTACTGAAGTAAACCATGTGGCTCAAGCTATTGCAGACTTTCAAAAGGTGTTGGACGTCAAAGAAAAGGAATTAGCAACAAGGGAGAGGCTTACTAGGATGAGCGTTCTTGACAGACTCCTTGCAAAAACAGATGCTCTGAATGAGGTGGAAGAAGCACTTAAGCAGAAGCTTCTTAAGGAGATGTTGTCTACTTAGTCATTTCGGTTTTTATGTATTAGGTTTGGCTTTGTTTTTATGTATTAGGTTAAGCTGTGTTATGGTTTGGCTTTGTTTTTTTATGTATTAGGTTAAGATGTGTTATGTAATTTGTTTCTATGTTAAGCGACCTTTGTATTGGCAATCTGGTTATCTTGATATTTGGTTTAATGTTTGTTATTGTCTTATCTTGCTTTCGTGATATTGGCAATCTGGTTATCTTGCTTATGCAAACGTGATATTGGCAATCTGGTTTTCTTGCTTATGTCTTTCAGGTTAGAGTTCGACTCACAAGTGGGCAGAAGACAACAATAGAAGTCACGTTTTGCATCAGAAGTCAGCACAAAACAACAACGGTTTATCACAAGTTGTGTTTAGTGGGCACAAAACAACAACACATATAAGATATTTGAATAATGATTGTCAATATTTTTTATGATTGTACAATATGGTGTATTTTGAGACCACAAGAATTCTGCTTTATTTTGCAACCACAAAATGCAAAGTGGACTCTTCTATATATAATTTCTATAACATTTGGGTTTAGCCTCAACACAATACAACGCTTTCCTTTCTCAATTTTTTTTCTCTCAATCAAGCAATTCTCTCTTTCTCTTTCAAGCCTTCCTCTTCTACTTCTTCTTTTTCTTTTTAAACGATATCCACTTAAAAAAAAAAAAAAACAATGGCTTCATCTTCGAATCATAATGATGATGAATCAGTTGATGAATATCTTGATCATCAAGGTGATCAGTTATTTGATCAATTTTATAATCACACTGTTCACACTTTTCAGAATATGTTCGTCGACTACGGACAACAGCAAGAGGCAACCAATTCAAGGAAAAAAAGAGATTTCATTGAAAGAAACCGGGAAGAAGGCCATATACGTTTATGGAATGATTACTTCAGTGAGGAGGCTATATTTCCGGATTATCTATTCCGCCGCCGGTTTAGGATGAATAAGTAATTGTTCATGAAGATTGTTGATCGACTAACTAATGAAGTTCGATACTTTCGACAGAAGAAAGACGCTCTCGGAAGGCCTGGTCTCTCCGGACTTCAGAAATGTACATCAGCAATTCGTCTTTTGGCGTACGGAACTGCTGCTGATTCAGTTGATGAATACCTCCGCATTGGTGCTACTACTGCTCGGAACTGTTTGGAAAATTTTGTCGACGCAATCATAAACTTATTTGGTGATGAATACTTGAGAAGACCAACACCAGAGGATCTTCAACGGTTACTTGATTATGGATAGTACCGCGGATTTTGCGGAATGGTAGGAAGCATCAACTGTATGCACTGGGAGTGGAAGAATTGCCCTACCGCGTGGAAAGGGCAATATTCACGTGGTTCAGACAAACCCACAATCGTTTTAGAGGCTGTAGCATTATATGACCTGTGGATATGGCATGCGTTTTTTGGACCTCCAGGTACCTTAAACGATATAAATGTCCTTGATCGCTCACCCGTGTTTGATGATATAATTCAGGGAAAAGCTCCACAAGTGAATTTTTCTGTCAACGGAAGGGAGTATGATTTGGCATACTATCTGACAGATGGTATTTATCCGAAATGGGCGACATTTATCCAATCTATTCCAATACCACAAGACCCGAAAGCATGTTTATTTGCAAAAAAACAGGAAGCTGCTCGAAAAGATGTCGAACGTGCTTTTGGTGTCTTGCAATCCCGGTTTGCCATTATCAAAAATCCAGCTCTGTTTTGGGATAAGACAAAAATAGGAAAGATTATGAGAGCTTGTATCATACTCCACAATATGATCGTAGAAGATGAAAGAGATGGATACGCACTCTCAAATGTTTCAGAATTGCAGCACGGAGAAGGAAGCGGAAGTGCAACTGTAGATCTCGCATATGAAACAGATACTTCAAATCTTGAGAATAGTATGTTTGCTAGAACAAAACTTCGTGATAGACGACAACATGAGAAACTGAAATCCGATTTAATGGAGAATATCTGGCAAAAATTTGGACATTACTAAAATGCCAACTGAAGTTTGTATCAAAATTTATGTTTTAATTCTTTTTATGTTCTTGTCTTAATCTTTGTAATGAAATAATTATCTTTTTATGAGTTAAATATTTTTTTTTTAAAACAACTCCAAAGGGTCTCTACAATGTTTAATCAAAATACATAGGTCTCTTATATAGGTATTCAGTTAACATATATTATTAAAATACTACTTAAGAGACTCTAATGAGTCTCTGCAATGTTCATGGTCTAAATGCCTCTAAAAGTGTCCACATAGGATAAAAAAGCAATTCTATTGGTCCACATCAACATTCAAATTAAGAAAGGAAATTATGTATTAAATTTTCATTAACAACAAAACTAAAATGATATTAAATTAAGAACATTTCTTAAACAAAATACAAATTTACTTAGATATAAAATAATATGCAATCAATTAAACAAGAAAAGTGAATTTCAAAAAAAAAATTCAGTAAAAAGAATAAAATTGAATATGATAAAAATCTTATTTTATTTTATTAGAGAAGAAACATATACTAATTTTTTTATGTCAATACTATTTTTATTAAATATTAATTGATTATTTTGTTATTGTTTTAAATTATTTTTTTAGTATACTAACCTACAAGAATTTGAAGAATTAAAAAAAATATTTATACAAGTTAAAATTCTAAAACAAATTAAAATAATATTTACTATAACATAAAAACAACACATATATTAATATGTGGAGATAATTGATGGTTTAAACATAATTTAAAGATGACATTAAGTATGTAAAATCTATTTTAATATATATCAAAAAATTAATTTAATAGTTTATTAAGGGGTAATTAAATGCTATCAAGTATAACTTGTACTCATTAAAACAGTAAAATAAGGAGAAATTTTTCCCATTCTTGGTTGTCAATAAAAAATTATTTAGAAGTTATCACACAGTATGTTACTCGACAAAATGTTTGGTATTTACCAATTTAAGATAAAATTGACAAAAATTTATATTGAATTCATCGATCTTTGTAATTTGAAATTAGTTTTAAATTTTTATTTTATATATATTTACTGAAAATATATGAAAGCAAAAATTATGGTTATTAGTTTATTTTTAAATTTAAAATAAATCAGAAATTTGTATCGACTAAACTAGTTAAAGAAAGAGAATACTTTTAAATTTTCTTATTTTTTCAAAAAAACATACATAACAAGAGCAATTGATGAAAAAAACTTCTTTTCTTGACTAATAAGTGATGTATAATACTTTATCTTTGTGTTTATATTAACTAAGTACTATTTCATTAGTTTGTTATATTTTTAAGTTGATTTGCTCTATTTACGGAAAAAAGAGAGAGAAAGAAGAAGGCTAAGAGCATGTACATCAGTGAACCCTTAAGAGAGGGGTTCACCAGAATATAATAACATTTTTTTAGGTTTTAGTTTTGTTTTTTTTTTAATTCGAAAATTATAATTTTTGACCAATCAGGATGCTTTATTTTGGGATGATACCGTCTCTTTAGGTTCGTCGGGATGATACTGTCTCTTTAATATTAAGATCTTTTGTCTCAAAAACTGTGTCATGAACCCCTATTAATCCTTTGATGTACATGCTCTAAGTAAAAGAGATGCTTAATTTGAACTTTTAAAGGATGAACGGAAATGAATATCTACAGTAAGGTACACTGTAGATTACTGTAGGGGTTCTTTTATTTATTAATAGTAATTAATAAAGGTTTAGAGTTTAGGGTTTAAGGATGTGAAGACCACACATAATCTAGTTAAATTGGTCTTCGTTTTGAGTTAAAAAGTAAAATTAAGATCTGACTATGTGTGGGAAACTGGGTCAACGTTTTGTTTGTTACCGTCTGTACTTTTAAAAGTTGATTTAGCACTTGCTTTGTTGGAAAAATCAAAAATATAGTAAACAAAATTACATAATCTAGGATTGAATTTTTGAGGAATAAACTTTAAATTTAATGGAGGATTAATCGTGAATACAAGAATTCATTAATATGAAGATTTAATCATTTTATCGTGAGATTGATCATGAGTCTAATACGTAGAAAAACGATTTGTTTTATTAAATTTCTATTTTTTTTAGTTTTTAAATTCTGAAATTAAAAAATTCAATGAGTCAAAATCTATCTTTATATAAAAAAAATAATAGTTTACATTATAAGAATTAATGTGAACGTAACATGTAAAAAGCTAATTTCTCAAATAATGTCATTTTAGTGTCGAGCGACACTACCATCAGTGTCGGTCCACATCTACATTGCTACTGCAAAAAAAAAAAAAAAAAAATCAGAGAAAAGTCGAACTGTTCTAATTCGCAGCACAAAGTGTTAGTGTCGAGCGATACCACCATCAGTATCGCTCGACACCACTTATCCAGGTCAGTTCCCTTTTTAAAACCCTTGATACCATCATCTCTCTCATTCTCCCAACTCGACACACACGAAGAACTCAAGCCCAAAATCTCAAATCCCTCAATTCTTCACGGATTTTAGTGATTTCAAGGCCTAACCTCATTAAATTTTTATACTGATTCTATTTCTTCCATCAATTTTTCCGATCTGCAAGGTATGCAACTCGAACATCCCTCTTTTCGATTTCAGTACACAAAGTTTGGAATGTCGATTTTATCTCTTGGAACTTGTTTTAATGATTGATTCATGCCTTTGTAGGTTGTTATAGAGGATTTTAAACATCCCCATTTACTTTCTATGGCCTGTTTGCAGGTTTTGGAAATTTTTATTTTGGGTGGCAAAATTGGTCCAAAAATCAGATTTTGGAACGGTTTTTGAACTGATTTAGGGCGGATTGTTGATGACTGTGATGCTGGTGATTGTTGCTAGTGGTGTTTAGTCCTTGAACTTGTTAATTTTGGATTTTGATTTTTGGATACTTCTTTGTTGCTTTTGTCATTGACTGCAGATGTATCAAGCTAAGAGGAAGCGCACAGACGAAACATCAAGCTCTAACCCACCACCACAAACTGCGCCTGTATCACCAGCGGATCGACAAAGGGTGGGGTTTCCGTTGTGTGCTCATGTCGAGGCATTCAATGCTCATGATGTTGATCCTCAGCCTTGGTTCATATGTGATGCATCTTCTGGAGCTCCAGCTTCTGCTGCTGAGGACGATTCAGTACTTGTTTCTGCCAGCGGTTTGTCGGCACATACTCACACTTTTTCATCTTTAGCATTCGGCCTTCCTGCGAATCCTGCGATCCCCATGGAGACCGATGTGTTTCAGAGGTATGTGGCTGAGAGCTTTCAGAGCATCTGAAATTCCATAGCTACTCTCTCTCGATGTGGCTGCGTTCAACCAGCTTGCCCACATTCCCGTTCACCACCACATACTGGAGATGATGCTGCTACTGACAAATAGTAGCTCCTTCATTTTTCTGGTTCTGTTTCTTTTCTTTCTTTTATTTTTCTTTTTTTTTGAGTCAGTTTGTCAGCTATCTATGTTGTGGAACTTTCTTGGATTTTTGCCTTTATGGTGAGTATTGTTACTTCTAACTTGTGTTTGAGTGATCTAACAGTGCTAACAATGACAATTCTATGTGCAACACGTCGAATTTGATCATTTTTGACACTTGGATTATGCTGTTCACTGATATGGTGTCGTTCGATACCACCATGGGTGTCGCTCGACACCGTCACCATATCAAACAGATTACACTCATTATCACTCACCATGAGTATTTGTGTCGACCTAAGCTTGGTGTCACTTGACACCAAGCTGTGTGTCGGTCGACACCAACCAAGAAGTCAGGTGTTCTCACCGTATTCATGTATCTATTTAGTTCCATTTATATTTTTTTTACCAACTTCAGACTTGGTAACACTGGAGACAGTGTTGTTTAAGTTAAGAGAGGTGATTGCTGACATTCTGTTTGTTTTTCTTAGAGTCAGTTGTGTCAAATTGTTTTTGAGTCAAAACTTGTTGGAGATTATGATACTTTTCTTGGAATTATTGTTCTGACTTTTTATCCAAGTGACCATTGCTGCAGAATCAGTCTAGATCCAACTAATGAAAAATCCAATGACTGACCAGTTAACTAAAGGTGTTCATATTTCCAACAGAATCCATAAGCTGGAGGTGATCGATGAGCTCTTTCTTTTACCTTATTGATGTGACTGGTGTTCGTAGAGCTTGACTCCTCGTTCATACTCGACAAATGAAAGCTTGTGTGAGATCTAAAACGGTGATTTTCTTCTAAAAATAAAAGGCTAGGAAAATTTCCAAGGATTCCATTATTTTACTTCTATAAAGGAATGATCACACAAAGGATGGAAGCGAGGGGTAGGAAAATTTCCCGTGACCCCATTATTCGCCTACACCTTTGATATATAAAGAAGAGACAAATCGGGGATTCGGTGGCAAACACCATCAATACTCGGATCTTTAACATTGTTATATATGTCATAAAGAGGAGGGAATGAGAAAAGAATAAGTCTATGGGAGAGAAAAAATACCAGAGATTGTAAGGTTGATTTGTCAAAGTATAGTACGGGAAAGAGTCTAGAAGGTTCTTGGCATTGGAATCATTGATGAGACCCAGCGATGAAGGCTTATGGACAATGTTATGGAATTTTGGACTTAATTTGGGAGGCTGCGAATGTTTGCGGAGAAATACATGGTAGTTCGATTTGGATTGATAAAGCAGTATGTGGATTATAAGGTGGTCAGTCAGCGCGATGTTCCATAGAAAAGTTGAGTCTCCGTATTTTTCAAACCACTTCCTGTTGTTTGGTTTTGTGTTTGCTTGAGGGAAAGCAAATGCTAAGTCTGAGGGAGTTGATATATCATGGTTTTTATAGTTTTTAACCATGATATAGGTTTTAGTTATAGAGTCTTTTTAGTGTTTCTCGAGTCTTTTGGAGTATTTTCAGGTCCTAGATGCGTTTGGAGCTTAATTGAAGATTTTGGAGGATTTTGGAGCCAAGCAAAGATCAATTTCGGTGAAGGACGATTTTATTCATAATGGTGTTGCTCGACACCGACATTGTCAAAAAAAAAAAAAATTATGCACTTGGGCCCAAAAGTTTTCGATGTTTGCAAGAAGGCTCAGCTCGTGGTTTTAGCTTTATATTAGGTTTTTCAGCCAACTGTTTTTGTTTACATTTTGATTTTATTCATCAATAATTTTGAGGGAGAAAAAGTCTGAAACTCTTCATTTGAGAGAAGATTTCGAACCCATGTTTCTTAATCTAATTACTATTTTCTGCAACCTATTCAATCATTTTTATTGCTTCAATTTCAATGTCTGAGTAGTTTGTTTGTTAGGTTTAGGGTTCTCATAAAGAATCTCATTGGATGTTAGATAATTGATTGGTTAGGGTTTATAATCTGATTAGTTCTTCACCATAGGTTGTTCTTAAAGCTAATTCTGGACTGATTACCTAAAACTTAGGTCTTAGATTAATTGATTGACACGAAAATGTAATTAATTATCTGATAGAACATAGGGTGAGCAAAATAGTTATCCGCAAAAAAATTTGGTTTTGATATTTTGTGAACAAATCAAACATGTGCTTAAAGCTTGTTTAGTCTTTAGGATTTGCAAAACAAATTGGAATTCTGGGATTTACACTTATATAATTTTGGTAATGAAAGTTGGTTAAATATAATTTCGTGATTTGAGTTCAAGAATTGCGCTAAAACCTTAATCTTGATTAATCGATTTATCTGCATTCTCTGATTTTCTGAGAAATACCCTGAGTCTAGTTCTTTCTCATTGATTTTACAACCGTTTTAACTACATTGCTGCTTTCAATTTCACCGTTTTTACTTAGCGTAATTCAAGTATAGTTAGTTTATTGAGTGAATCTCTAGTCTCTGTGGTTCGATCCATATTGTAGTACAATTGCATATTTGTACTCTTGCATAGTAGCTCTAAGGATTAAACTTTGAACAGATCAAAATGCTTCTGTTTTAATATAAAAGAATGACCACTATTATAAAACATATTTCTAACTCGTTCATTCTATTAACCCGAAAAGAACCGTGGTTATAAAACCATAATTATAACACATCCATTCATATTATTATATAATATAAATATTTACTAATTGTAAAATAATTTTTATCTCAATATTTTGCATGTTTTGATAACCTAACCTGCATAAAACCACAATTATATAAAAAAAACATAATGTTTTCTATTAAATTATCATATAATATTAATATTTGTGAGTTTTTAATGTGAATTTTTAATTTATTTAAATATGATTAAAACATATGAATAATGTATTTGTTAGTTATAAGTGTTATTCTGAAAATATTATTTGAGTTTCAAATGTTAAATTAAATCTAATCTATTTAGATTTTAATTTGAATAATTTGAAAAAAAAAGAGCTAATAATTTGATCAAACATATCCTTAAAAGGTCATCATGTAATTTTTTATTCAGTCTGAGGTTCTTTGTTTATAATTTAATTGAGGAAAAAGGGCAAAAGCAAAGGTGGCTGGATTAGCCATCGCACTTTTGACCTAACTTATGAATTATCTATGTTCCATCACCTACCAATCAGTTGCAATCGCTAGCAAACTTAAATAATTAGTATAATCAAAGAAACCAAAAAGAAAATATTTTTATCAGCTCCATGGTTTTTATTTGGTTTTAAGCTCCTCAGTGACATATAAGTAATAACATAACAATGCTTAATCTTGATTCTTGAAGTAGCAATTTTCGTATTCGCCGATGTTGTTTTTGTAAAGGATATATTTTTACTACATAATTAGTGATCTATTTCTTCTTGACATCTTGTACAATTTTACAAGTAAAAGCGATAAAGAAGCTAACAAAAAGAAATAAAACACACTTAATTATACATTGCTTAAATGAAAGATACAAACAGACACTCAAAAGGAAAATACAAATACATAATCCAGACCAATCGGTCCAAACCAAAAGCAAACCAAACCAAAAGCAAACCAAACCAAAAGCAAACCAAACCAAACCAAATCAAACCTTACAAACAAAGATATCTCCCAGACGACATCATTACTCCACTTTAAAAACACGTAGAAACAACAGATTAGGGAGATATTTTTGTTTACCACATTAATCACACCATAAACGTACACCCAGTTTAACCCACCAAAAAACCGAAGTTAAACCGGGGCCGTAACACACCAAATAAAATAAAAAACCAAACCACAATCAAACTGAACCGGTTTAGGAGAAAGGATCGTTCTGTTTTCAAAAACGAACAGAACCACACAAGCCTTTTCCCTCATAAGTAGTGTCATGGTGGTTGAAATAAACCAGTGGCACTTTCGTTATTATGTCTTTATATGTTTTGTTGCTTCAAGTAGATTCACTGTTCTGGTCGGAGGTGTAACCGCTCGTCGGAGGAGTGGCGGTGGAGGAAGAAGATCCACCACCACCACCACCTCTAACTTTCCTCTGGAACGCTCCGCCGGCTGTCACGGCGGCCGAAACGATGGAGTTGGCTAAACCGCCAAAGATCTCTCTCTTCACTCTTCCGCGGCGAGGCGGTAATTCAACGGTCCTCACGGTGGAGGATTTGCTCGCCGGAGATTCCATGGACAAGTTTCTCTGTAAGGAAAAAACATGAGTGTGTGTAAGAATAAAATCAACAAACTTTAACCCAAAAAATTAATAAAATCTACAAAGAAATTGAAATTAAGTTTATTTAAAAAATCTCAAAAAGGGAATTGAGTGTGTAAGAATCAAATCTACAGAGAAAATGAGAATTAAGGGAAAAAAAATGGAGGGTTCTTTAATGGCAGAAAGAAAGGTACAGATAAGGCTAGTCTTGCTTCTTGTAAAAAAAAAAATCTGAAAAAAAACTGTTTTTTTGGTTTTTTTAGCTGAAGAAAGGAAGAAGAAAAGTAGAAAGAAAAGCAGAGAAGAGAGGAGTTTAACTTATAGGCGAAGAAAGAGTGAAGATATCTCCAAACTCTTGAGTTGATTATTATTATACAAAAAGTGCTTATAAATTGGTCTACTGTTAGAGAATTTATTCAATATAATTTGTGGTAAAGTTCGGTAATTATTCATAATGCATGGTGGGTCAATGGTTTATAGGATCTCATCATATTATATTTCAATTGTATACTATAATAATACATTGTACTAAAATACTGTCATGATGCTTTAGGTAATACGTTAATTCACTTTTTGATTTAATATAGATTAAATAATATGTTGCAGCCAAGTATAGGTGGGAAGTGGTCTTATAAGTATAAACGTGTGAAATCGTATTGTTTTATGGGAAAATTGGAAATATAACACAAAAAGTAAAAAACATTATTCTTTTAATATTTTTTTAAATTTTGGCAGTTTTGGACTAAAATAATCTTTTGAAATGTTTTAAATTTTTGGAATAAATATTTATAACTACTTAAAAAACTTTTTAAAAAATTAAAAAGGAAAAAATACTATTCGAAAATTTATTTTAGAAAAGAAATATTATTCAAAAAATTATTTTAAATATATTCTAAAAAACATCTTCTACAATTATAGTGTTCTATAGAAATTGTTTTCTATCATTTGATCTACCATCACCCAAATATAGAATTGATATTTTACCTTTTGTTTTGTTTTCTACATCATCCTATAGAATACGTTGTTTACAAATTGTCATATATTCTATATATTCTAGAATATTTATTATATATTTTGTTATATAATATATAGGATGATGTAGAAAACAAAAAAAAACTGAAAATCAATTTGTTGGAGGAGATGCAATGAAGAAAAATGGAGAAGAAGAATGTGTCGGGGTCTCTAAATTTTTTGGGTCTTAGAAACAAATTTGTTTTTTTTTTCTATTACAGATTTTATTCAAAGGTGATTTTTTCTTTTACATTTTTAATTGTAATTTTAAACCTATATATAAATATTTACTAATTCAATTTCTACGAGTAAAAGAGGATTAACATCAAAATAAGTATTAGGGACAAAATTTTTTATAAAAGTTATAAAGAAACAATGTTCTTCATTTTGTGTTTTATATTCCAATTATCCTTTGTTTTATAGATTGCCAAAACAAAACAAGGGATATATAATAAAATAAAATAAATTATCATAATTTATTGTCCGCATAAATTGTTTAGAAGGGCAATTAACTTTTTACTTTTTTATCTAGTCAGCTTCTAGATAATGACGAAGGAATGAGAAAGTTATGAGCAAGTTAAGTTGACTTTGTTAGAGGAAAGCGTTCCTTTAGTTTTCTCTTACTATCAAAACAACGCCAAAATTAGTACTAATTAATTTCTACACGTTTCAAATAGTTAAACAATATATACAAGTGTGGAGCATCAAATGGTGTTTAATTCGTTTTATCGTGAAGACATTGCGTATTATGACATTGAGTTTTGTAATTTTTCGTTAGTTTTCTTTCATCAATTTTTCTTGGCCTCTTCAATTGACCTATTCGTTATTGCAAATGTAGCACATGACATGCATTTGGATTTTTGCAGGGTTAACTATTAATCATATAAATATTACACTCCACTCGAGTGTAAAAATACCATAAATGAATCACATAAATTCTCTTTCGTCATGTTATTCTGAAGTTCTGTCCATATATGAACCAACAAATCCTGTATGTTCTCTAATTTACTGTATTTTTGCAAAAGTCAACGAATCCATTAAGACTCTAGTTTTTCGTATCTTTATAATCAACTAGCCTATCTCCAGAAGTTTTCGTTACACTTGCGCTAATGAATATGACAAAAAAAACTTTGTTATGTTTCATTAATCTGTGTACTCTTTAATTACTAACAATGAATTATTTTGAATTTAAATAAAGTGTCAAGATTCCTTTTAAGTCAGGTCAACAAGCAATTACATTTTCTTATCATGCGAAATCCGAATTTCAGTAACGTCACTAGGATAACATATTCCAGGAAATTCAGAGTAAAAGACAGAGAAATTCGATAAAGCTAAGTTGGTCAAACAAATATTTTCCATTTCATCCACCCCCATATTTAATTGGTAATGACCCCATTGAAAAAGCATTCCCCTTCAAGTGGTACATCTATAAGAAAAAGTGCAACTAAAATATTGTTGAATAAAATGCATAATAATATTAAAAGTATTATAGGCTATTAGCCAAAAGAGTATTGCCAGATTAATTGAAATAATAAAATATTAGTATGAAAACATCAGTTTCTTTAATTTTGTCATCATCAATGATAAACACTACATTAAACTTTAAACTTATATGGAGGCCCCTTTAAATAAAGGCTCTAACTACCATACCACCATGTTGGAAAGTAATACGTAAATATCGAATTTCCCAAAAACAAGAAACATTCGATCTTCCTTCATTTAGCATGCCTAGATTTTTTACAAATGTTTCTAGGGAAGCTCTTGGTCTTGCTTTAGAGACATATTTGCGATTTGACAACAGGTTTTACCAATAGCAGATCAAGAAAGTTTTATAGATGGAGGCATAATATAAGAAATATGGGAAAAAATTAAAAGATGGGAGAATTTTTTTTTTTTTTTATCACTAAATTAACAACATTTTAATTAAATTTTCTTCAAATACTTTAAAAAAAAATGAAAAATAATAGAGAGCAAGTGACCCGTCTGAACGTATGTACGTCCGACCCTGGGTTCTACTTCGGTGTGCCATATGAGAAGGCTAAAGGAAAGATAGTCTCTGTGGAAATACGCAATATCTCACTGAAGAGCAATACTTTTGACAAAGCAAAGTTTGCTCGTCGGACTTCTGGATTCGTTAGTGCTGATTTTAATGCTTTGGCCAAGGATGCTGGCATGTTGACAGCAAAGAGACTTTTAAATTCAATTAATACAGAAGAAGTTGAGGCAATGACTACCTTAGAATTTGAGTTGAGAATTTTTTTTTCTCATAAATCTCTTTTGTTCGATATATGACACTTGTTTTTTCTTATGTTTATAGGAAGCCTTGAAATGTGTCGAATGTACTTTAAGCAAGACAAGGTTTTTAACAAGGCTTAGTAGTTAGTACTGATATCCCAGATTATCTTAAAAAATCTGATTTTTATTGTATTACCACCATAGCTTTATGTCTCATATAATAAAAGCTCTGCCTTAGGAGTTGTTTTATCTCATTTAGGAATTAGTGTATAATTATTCATAAGTCATAATATTTTAAGGTTTTTGGTCTCAGCGTGATTTATCTCTATTTGTTTGTTTGTTGTACGGAAAAGAAGGCAATTGTAATAATTCATAAGCAACAGTTACTGCAGCACAACAAGCTAACTTGATCTTCATCAATGAAGATAATGAAATATTATTTCATTTTTAGTTGAAATTTTAGGTGGTTCCAAAAATATTTTATTTTTAGTTGAAATTTTAGGTGGTTCAAAAAAAATAGCAAAAAATTATCTAAGTCGATACTAAGATAAATGTATAAACCAATGCTTTCATAAATTTGATCATGGCTTACAATAATAGTTTTCATACATGTTTTGTTTATGTTTACTTAAGAGTATTTCTTCGGATAAAAAACGAAAAAGATTCAAAGAAACAGCAGCGATTTAAATAAAGATTTCTACTGGACCCTACAAAATCGCAAACAAAAAGTAGAAAAAAAGGCAATGTTAAATCAGATAGCTTGTCTTTTTATCATAAACAATTGTTACTGCAACACAACAAACTAACTTGATCTTCATAGGTTGTCTTTTGACATATTTTGTGTTTGAACAAACTAAATTACTACTGAATAAATAATTTTGTCAAATTATATAAAAATTCAGTTATTTTGATTAAGATGTATACAGTAATTATTAATATGTTTAATGTTCAGTTTTGTGCAAAACACAACAAACTCATAATTTTTTTTTGTCTTGAGAAAGAATTATTAAGCTTCATGTGGTTCTGAGCTTAGTAAATAGAATGACATGGCGCTTAGCTGGCTAAATAGAGGATATAGCAAAAATTTGGATGGACAAAGAGGCTTTGTCGTTTGAGAATTATAAGACTATATTAAGGAGATTGATATTCAGTTGTTCATCATGCTTGTATGCTTTTTATCAAACGATATGAGTTGGTGAAAACTTATGATGATTGTGATTGGAATCTTTAGGTTAAGATCGCCATAAGATCATGATCTGAGATTCATTTAAGGTATCAAAAACACAAAAAGTAATCTCTCACCTTTGAGTTCTCGATTTTCGTTGTGATTGCAGCATTCAACCACAGACCACAAGAGAATCATGCACACTTCCTCCCAGAAGCTTAAAGATATGGACATTGTCCATGTTGAAGTTGGTTAGAATCTTATGGCACTCGTAAAAAGAAGTGAACACAACAACTATTAGCTAATTAATCTGATAATTTCTTTTTGTTGAAAAATCAACAACTGTGAGCCAAAATCTCATACACATTTTTGATATTACAACATTACACTAAGTCTTAACAATGAAATAGTAACACTACATAATATTAGGTTCTATCATTCTGTCTCTTTTTTTAACAAGGGTTCCTTGTATCATTATTTCCTCACTGAAAATTACCATCTTTCAGTTTCTTCAATCTAGGTTCCTAGGTTTTGATCATTTTTGCCATTCTTTTTGTTAGAAAATGGATGCGCTTGCGCAAGAGATCGAGACACTAAGGCTGAAAGTAGTTGCTCTTATGTTTCAAAAAGCGTTGATTCGATTAAGAAGATAATATCCTTATATATATATATATATATATATATATATATATTGTGCTTGGGGGCTTGGTGTAGTGTATCATTATGAAGATGAAATTGAAGAGACTGTTTTGAAAAGATACAATGATAGCCAGTGAAGATAATTTATACATTATTTTGTCATGTTTTAGGTTTTCAAAAGCATATGATTACAACCTGTCTTCTCTGATAAAAAGTCTCTACATAGTTTTTCTTTTAATACTGGTAAAAGTTATTTGAACTTACTATAAAGAGATTCTGCAACAGATAACACTACTACTCTATAAGGATCTATAATCACAATGAACGGTTCCACTTGCATCACGCTAAAAATTTCCTTATAAATTTGTTTCCGTTGATCTGTAGAAATTGCATTATTTGGTAATTAAACAAACGTTAGACCTCTTGATGTAGAACACTAATAAACTTTTTAGATAACCACTAGACCAATGAGACTTCCACAAAATCTCTAGTTAGTTTGTACTAATATTTTTTTAAATCAATTAATATGTATGACAAAATGTTCTTACTGACGAACAAACGTTTTCAATAGAGATTTAAAGGAGAGAAAATAATGTTTTCACAAGGGAATACATTTCAATCTATAAAGAAAAAGAAAAAAGATGAAAACAAGATGCTACTCAGATTTGCTAAGACCGATTTCAAGTTCATGCAAATCAATTATGTTCAAGAACTGAAAACTCTAAACAAGTACTACTCTACATTTCTCATTCTCGCGTTTCTTGCGCTAAAGTTTCTGACGATAATCACTATGTGAGCTGGCAATAACCATTTAATTGACATTTGTTGCAGATGGCGGAAGCAGCAAGACCTTGCATTTAAACTCCCACCTTATTTCAGTGGCTATGTATTTGCATTAGTGATATATTTCGAGCCATTATTTGGCTGTTATCAAGATTCAAGAACAAAACAATGAGAAATCCTAAAACGAAGATGAGGTTGGAGAAGTTGATGCGCCACTATACACTGATACAAATTATTGATCAGAGATTCAAAAACTGGGTGAAAAATCTAGTCCACCTAAAAGTTTCTCAACATGATAGTCCAAGATACATGTAAGAGAGCCAGGTCAGAGAGTGTGAGAGATGATCTTAGAAGTTATTACTAAATGGGCCGACCTTTTTAATTTTCAGGCCCAAATTCGTTGGTAATAGAATTGAGGAATTTCAATTTGGCGGGAGAGAGAGAATGGCTTCTCACTAATCTCTACCCTCCAAAGAATAAATCCCGACGCCGGAGACGGAGACAGTATGGCGAACAAGCTCATCGGAGAAATTGGTCTTCACAAGAAAATCTCTAATATATTCGCCGCCCGTAACATCATCACCGCCAAGGTTTTTCATCAAATCTACGCATGATTCCTAAATTTTCCGGCGATACGATGCTGAAACTATAGGTTTTGTTATCTAAATCTAATCGATGAATTTTTAGGATTTTTCGATTGCTATCGTACTGGGAACTTAGCTCGTGCTCACTAATTTCTTCTTAGATTTCCAGATTTTGGGTAATTGCAATCTCAATCAAAGATTGAATTTTTTTCATAGGATGCATTGTCTATGACGGAGTTTGAATTGATGGAGCTTCTAGATGTTGGGATGAAGGAGATAAAATCAGCGATTAAACTCATCAGTGAAGCTGCTTCTCCTCCATGCCAATCCGTAAAAAAAGCTTACTTCGTTTGCTACATATGAATATAAGCTTTTACCATCTTTAATCGAATTCGTTTTTTGTTTTTCCCCTTAAAGGCACGAACTTTGCTGGAGAGAAAAGTTGAAAACGAGCACTTGTCAGGTCATCTTCCTACACATTTAAAGGGTTTGGATTCAACCTTATGTGGTGGTATACCTTTTGGTGTTCTCACAGAGTTAGTTGGTCCTCCTGGTATTGGTAAATCGCAGGTAAAGTTTCCTTCTGCTTGATAATGCTAAGTGTCAAACTTGAATAGCATTGTTGGTATTAAGCTTAGTTTGCAAATGGCTATCTATATAATGATCTATCTTTCCTCAGTTGCTTAAGTGTGCTTGCATATGGTAAAGGTTCTGTGTTGCTTTGCAGTTTTGCATGAAACTTGCCCTATCAGCTTCATTTCCCACAGCTTACGGAGGATTAGATGGTCGTGTAATATACATAGACGTTGAGTCCAAGTTTAGTTCAAGAAGGTAAACTGATTCTTTCTTCTTCTTCTTCTTCTTTTTCTTTTTCACGAATGGCATGTTTTTTGTGCAAACAATCCTCAGAGAATGTGTTCCTCAGGGTGATAGAGATGGGACTGAAAAGCTTCCCTGAAGTATTTCACCTCAAAGGAATGGCACAAGAGGTTCTGGTTTATGCCTTTTGGTAAAGTTTTCTCATATTCCAGATTGCTTACATAACCATTCGCAGTGCAGATGGCAGGAAGAATCCTTGTTTTGCGGCCAGCATCTTTATCCGATTTTACTGAAAGGTCCATGAGATTTTGCTCATTGTTTTCAGTGTCATATATTTTGTCTAATTCTGTCTATATGAATTGAGAAATTTCGAGTATACAAACTGTTAGCATGCTGCAGTAATTCAATTTTTGTTTCTTTGTTCTAATTTACAGTATACAAGAACTCAAGGATTCGATTCTTCAAAACCAAGTAAAGCTTCTAGTGATTGATAGTATGACAGCTCTTCTTTCAGGGTTAGCTTCTAATGATCATTTCTTTTCATGTCGTTCTTGTTTCCTCGGTGACCTTAGTAACGACGTATTTGTTTTCAGTTTTTTTTTTTTTTTGTTCCTTTTATCAAGCGATTGATTTTCAGTGAAAACAAACCAGGAGCTCAGAGACAGCATCAGTTGGGTTGGCATATTTCTTTCTTAAAGTATGAACTGTAGTCTCAAGTCAGCTCAGAGCTTGGAATGTACCCTTCACATCAGAAACTTCATCTGTAGACTGATATTTGATTCTTTGATGTTTTTCAGGTCGCTTGCTGAATTTTCGCGGATTCCTATAGTGGTGACTAATCAAGTTAGATCTCAAAACCGAGATGAAACTAGCCAGTATTCTTTCCAAGGTACAGTCAACAGAAACTGAAGTATATCATCCTTGTTAATTCCCAAGGTACAGTCACCACAATCATATACTTCTTCTTTAACAGAAAAATTCAAAGATGGGTTTCAAGAACACGCAAGAACATATGATTCTCACCTTGTTGCTGCATTGGGGATTAACTGGGCTCATGCTGTAACCATCCGGCTGGTTCTTGAAGCCAAGTCAGGCAAGAATGTTTGTTCATTGTGTGATTTGTAATGTAAGGTCACAGTAACTATGTACCAAGAATGTTTGTTCATGTGATTTGGTCACGATTTGAACAGGTCAGAGAATCATTAAGGTCGCGAAATCTCCTATCTCGCCTCCTCTAGCCTTCCCTTTCCATATAACATCAGCTGGAATTTCATTGCTGAGTGACAACGGGACTGAACTTAAAGGCCCAGGAATTAACACCATTCACGCTCGAGGTATATAGCTAATTCTATGATCACATTTTAGCATGAAACAAAACTTGAGCTGAATAACATATTATGTGATTGTTGAGCAACTGCTTAAAACAAGTCATAAGCCCTCTGTGATGAATTTGATAATAATATAAAGGCTTAACACTAATTGATGAGGTGAATGCAGGGCACAGCGACATGATTAATTTTAATGAGGAAGTTTAAGAGTACGAAACAAAGGCTTGCTGATACAAAAATTCAATTAGAGGAACCTCACTTCCAAATGCTGTAAATTGTCTTAATAGTAAGTCAGTAGTTCAATTCAAAACTTTTTATAGGAGAAGCTAATATTTATACATTGATATAGGCTTCAATGTTCCTTCATCGGATGATTAGCGATAAAATCTCACAATTCGTAGATCTCTGCAATCTATATAGTATTTGGTAAAGGGTTTGCTTGTTTGTTTGTTTTTGTTGGAACTATCTATATTTGCAATATGTATGAGATGGTATGAATCATGATGATGATCATATGAAGAGGATGTTTGTTTATCTTTCTTGGTCTCTTGTCAGGTCAAAATTAGTTTTTTTTTTTTCTTGATTACTGTTAAAAACTAATCTGATGAAGAAGACATCAAGGTTTATATTTTCTTTTTCTCACCATCAACATATATATATATATATATATATATATATATATATATATATATATTATCGTCGTTCCGATTCTTTTATATTTGATAGGAATAATTTTCTGAAATAATGAAACGCTGAATCATCAAATGTGTCATCTCGTCTTATAGTGATGTATTTAACTTAATCCATTCATTAATAGTTATGCCTTTTAAATCTCATATTCTGATTGGATCTTCCAAATAGTATCACCCAATTGGCTAAGTCCTCTTTGCACGTCAACTCTCAAAAGTATCAACAATTAAGGTTAGCTTGATTACATTTGCATTTAACTAATTGGGTCAATTAATTAATCTTTTTATCTAGTATTGGAAAAAACCTCGTGTCAACATCAATGTGGTTATAAGAATATGATTTTACTTAAACCAGATAATCATCATTAATTCAAAATGGCATCGTATTCCAAGCCCCACGATGACTATCTTAATCTTTCTTTTATCGTTATTTTAGATTTAGAAGCCACTAGATAACTTTCATGGGTACTAAATAAAATACTTAGTTGGATACGTTTTCAAAAGATGACATATTCACTGCATTTGGATACGAACTAATAATCTAATTTAAATTAACTTATCTTTACTTCTTTACATATAGAATTTAAAACATCGTTATATTTATTTGTTTATGATAGTCTCACGCGTAAATGTTGTTGGAGGCAATGAGTTGAGTTAATATTTGATAATATATGTTTGTCATGTTAACATGTTTGATGTGAAATAATTACATCTCAGACTCTCTCTCTCTAGTCAATTGCCATTAGGCTCAAATTATTTTTAAAACTTTGTGTTAGTTATAAAATAATCATGTGTCTTTCTATTGGCGGTGAGTCTAATATTAGTTGCTATGATTCACTATGCTTTGAAAATGTATAACGAAAAGCTATCCATTTTTTCTCTCTTATATTCATTCTTTATTCTTTACAAAAGCTAAACTAAATTTGTGTATGCATTTTCTAGTAATTATAGTAGTACATCTGGACTCGCTCTTACCATCAAGCCTAACATTAAAAAATATTTTTCTGGTGTTTTTTTGTAGGTTTCCTTCTGTTGACGCTGAGTACTAATACCAATTGCTTGTTTATTATGCTTTTTAAAACGTTAAATGTAAAGCTACAGTTTTTTTATCGCTTATATCTTCTTTTTTAACCATCTTGAATGTTTCACAAAGCTAATCATATATATGAATCTACGCCAACTCTCTCCATAATTCCGCCACGTCAGCACGTGAAAGGAGGCCACGTGTCCACCTTTTGATGTATATTTAAAAACACTTCCCCGTTGGTTTTAATTCGTGTACAACACCTTCTAAATTATCAAAACTTTTAAGATGACAAGCTGGGTTTCTGAAATCCACATTTAAAACACAGCCCATTAATAATCCACAAAAGACATTTACAATTGGACCACAATTTTAATAAAAACATTCGTCGGGTACGGTATACCCATCTTTTCTCAAGCAATGATAATTGCTACCACTACGTCTGCCTCGCTTGTTCAGATTCTTAACGCCTGTAATTAATCCCCACTCTTTCCAGTAATCAATCACTTTGCCGACTGGACTTCCTTATCTCGAAATGCCTACAAAATCATTCTCACCTGTTGATCTATGCCAAATTTGTGCACTTTCATCACCTCAAAAATTTCTTCATTCTCCCATATTTTGTGCTTCACGATTGTGAAATTGAGATGATTCGTCGCAAACTCGTGATTAAGCGACTTGCTCAGGCGAATCGCCGGCCAGCTAGCTTTGCGAAGATGCGTTCTCGGTTGGTAAAGAATGCTCGCCAGCTCTGTACTCTTTCCGACGCCGAGGTCGCGGTCATCGTCTTCTCCAAGTCTGGCAAGCTCTTCCAGTTCGCCAGCACCAGGTATTCATAATTACTCTTTCTCATTTTTCAATTTCCATGCGTCGCGTTGATCTGTGCATCCTTAAGCCGGCTTTCCACTTAGTTGTATTAGTAGTCCACGTCTCTTAATTTATCTCACCTGAGAGGAATAATGAATCCCCGAATAAGCGTCTCTACTCTCACCTCCCTTCTGCTCTCCATGTAATTTCACAATTGTCGTGCAGCATGACCCAAATGCTTATGAGATACCAGAATTACCAGCACTCTTCACAAGCCCCTCTCATTACTTCTAAAGCAGAGGTCAGCCACTCTTCGGCCATGTTGAAATCGTATTGTTTTTTTATTTTCATTCATGTATACTGTTTTTATGGTTACTCCTCACTCATTAGAGAATAGAGTAATTGCGCCATTTAGTTGGTGGCAACTTCCATATTTTGTTATTTCTTTTACGGTTTATATTTCGGATGTGAACAAATTCATAGGAACCGTTTGTGAAACTATGTAAGCCGTATCTTATGTGTATTACATCTATAGAACACACATGTATCTTTAGCTTTCAAACTGAATAAAAGCACTGAATATACCTCGTCGTTTTTTAGACGTCTGTACGTAACTCTAGGCTGAAAACTTGATACGTAATATATCATCTTCAACTCTCAATTGTTCGATCTAGATATTCACACTACCTCTACACTGGTTTGTTTAATATTTCTCCCATATAACAGATTCAGTTGTGATTATTGATTTCCCTTACCATTTGATATATATGGTTCAGGAAGATTGTGCAAGGACTTCCCTTTCGAACGACGGGCTTACAAAGCTTCAAGAGAGCCAGTTGTATGGGTCCGAACCCCCACTTTGTTATAACATAAATTCCCTTTAAGCACCAGCCAAATTTGTGATTATATGGATTTGTCTTTCTCTGTTCTGCAGACACATGCATGGTAAGGAGTTCAATATTCTAAGCATGAAAGATCTGCAGCACCTTGAGCAGCAACTAAATGCACCATTGACATCTGAACGAGAGGGAAAGGTACTTAGTCTCTGCATTTACATCTTCAATTTGTAAACGTTTATTTACGCACTTCATTTCCTTCTTCATAGCACCGTCCAACATTTTGATTCTGGTGGCCACTTACCTTGACTAACTTAGGTACACAAACTTATAATTGGTTACACACACCAGCTCTCTCCTGGTTTATGGTTTTCCCCTTCTCATTGTTTTCATTTCATCTTTGCTGATGTGATGATGTGCATATTTGTAAATAGTTGTGTATTAAATAACTTATCATTATTTGAATATGTTTTCAACGACACAAGTGGTGACTTTATTTTAAACTCATGATTAGTGGCAGAAAGATTTTATATACATGGTTTATTTTTTTGTCCCACATTACTGCAGCTTCAAAGCGTGCACTTATGTGTCGGGCTTCCATTGTCCTCAGCTTCAAACTTGCTCAACGTGAAAGAAACTCTAGGTATCCCTGATTTTGTAAACAATTTATAACCGGTCGACACATATGATATTCAGCTCCCAAACTCATGTCGATTGATTGAGCACAAATACGCAGGCAAATCTGATTTTTCAGGATACTTAGCAGTTGCAGAGTGTGTAAAGAAGAAGGGGCTCCAGCTAAATGTTTCATTGTATTTCCACGATGACCCAGAACTCTGTTTGCCATCTGCTGTTGACGCTGCCGCCGTACCTGATCCACGGACTATAACGGAGGTTTACAGAGGTTTCTGCAAGAGCTTCAACTGCGCGTTGTCTGATTACATGTGCAACACAATCACGGTAATCATATTAGTCTTTCTCTTTGTATTTACACTCTCAACCTGATTTTGCTTGTTATGGCTCCCGATTTTCCCCGTATTGTTTTCCAGGAAATGACATTGTGTTTCAGACCACCTGCCCATGAAAGATTTCCTCCCGGAGCTCACATTTACCACAAGGTCAAATCTGTGCTAAGCACTAAGTATTAACGTTTATGTTAAGCATATAGTGTTCTTTAATACAAAGACTTCCCCTGTAATTTGGAATCATATTCTGTGATTTACAGGTTGGATCCCCATCCGCTTTGCTAATTCTTTTGGGTTCGCCCCCATCGGGAGACACTCAGGTTTTTCTGAAAACAAAAGTTCATATATTCCATCATTGTCATCTGTTCCCGTATTCATCCACCTTTGAAAAAACACCTACTCGTTTTGTACGTAATTGAGCATGCATACTTTTAAACATACCATTCCTCATTATGATTGTGATTTATATATTGATAGTACATAAACTCCTTACAAGCATATATTACATCCTCTGCTCTTTTTCTCTCTCACACAGAGAGCTTAGCAATTACAATTTTTGGTATTTAAATATATGCTTCGCAGACATATAACTATGATATAGTGCTAACTACGAATACTTTGCTTGTCTATATATGTGTGTGATCTTTGCTTCTTAAGTCCTCTACCATTTACTCTGTTGCTATTGTATATATATATATATATCTAGGTTCCTTCTCCTTGTTGTGTCAGAGAAGCCATGTTGAGGTACCCTTCCAATTTGGTCAGTCCAAGAATTTCGACTTTTGCATCATGGATTCATCGAAACAAAGCTTTTGGAGAAATACTCGAGAAGACATCCTACGAATACCCAATAAAGTTTTACTGGGATAAAGAAAGTCATGCTTGGATTGAAAAAGAAGAGAGGATTTCAATAGCAAGAGGAGACACCAGCTATGCTACAGATGTACTTGACACAATTGCTGAATACTATGGTGCAATGGCAGAAGCTACTTCATGGGCTTCACCTAAACAACTACAGGCATTGGGTCTGACTGTTCTCTCATGTATTGGAAATTACGTAAATGGTATATGAGAAGGCCGTGAAAGCAATGAATACTATGACTACTGAACTTCATCAACATCTTTATTCTATATTCTACCTTACTTTTGTTTTCTTGGTACCTTATTTTCAGTCTGGCTATTCCTTTCGTAA